TGGTAGAAGAAATATTTCTAAAATACATTTTTAAAAAGAAAACAAAAGAGAAGAATAGAATATCCCACCAAAGCACATGGCCGACTGATCACCAGGCGAACCTTTTTAGAGGGACACCCTGCACTGCTGTTTTTAATGTATATCTCGAAGGTTTTGGGTGGCGATAGTGGCCATTTCAGCTATTGGATCTGAGCTCTGTTGCATGGGGGAATCTGGAATAAAATAACTGCAAGGTATATTTTATTGATTCTCTTTTCACTCAGGAACTCAAGATGGCATATAAATATGTGTTGTTTTTCCTCTGAGGTTTATTTATCTATTTTTAAGAACTGCTAAGGACCAGATGACTTTACTATGTCCTGATATGCAAAAATCATAGAACTCTTTTTCATATGATCCTATGAGCGCAGATGAATGGATGGCTCTGCCCAAATGGACCCAGGTGACTTTGTGAGCTGAGCTCTTCCCAAGAAGCTGGGACTGGGAGCACAGCCATTTCTCAGAAGCCGCCTGACCATGGATGGAAACTGTGGGCTGGTTGGAGAAGACTGAAGGGGATGTGGATTCCAAAGATTTGGAGTTAAACAGACTCAATGTGTGATGAATTGGACTTTCTTAAGAAGATTGGGGAATGGACTTATTTTATTTAACTGGAAAACAATTTAAACTGAACTTTTTTGATAAAATGGATCAACAACAGAGGTTTATTATTTTGGGGAATAAGACACAATTGTTGGGAAAGTCCTCAATCAAAGTCTTAAGGAAAAGCTTTATTATTAAGAATCAAATGAGCATATTTGATCCTACACGGATCAGAGACAATGATCAAGGTGACTTACCGTAAATAACAAGCCATTGTAGTTAAATACAATAGATCCATGATGGCGAACCTATGGTACGGGTGCCACAGGTGGCACGCAAAGCCCTCTCTGTGGGCACGCACGCCATCACCCCAGTCCTAGGCCTTCAGCTGGGTTTTATAAAGCCTTTTTGCTTTAGGCCTCCGCCGCCGTGTGCAAAAAAAAAAAAGATTCAATCAATCAATCAATCAATTTCAACTTCTCAGGGAAAAAAAAAGATCTCGCAAAGTTGGAATTGATTGATTGAACTTTTTAGTCCCACCCAGTCTGCCATTACCACCGCAGCCACACCCACCCAATGGGCCACGCCCACCCGGCACCTGACAATACATAAGTGGGTTTTGGGTTGCAATTTTGGCACTCAGTCTCTAAAAGGTTCGCCATCACTGCAATAGATGATTAAGAGAGGGCTTTGATGTTTAACTTTACTGTTGTTTCATCTGTTCAGCATTTTGCCGTTACACACAGTAGATAAATGAAGGACAAATTGATTCTAACTAGAGGTAGAAATTCACAAATTTTGAGCCTGCTTTGCAAGGGTAGGAAACTAATATTGTTACACTATGTTTATCAACATTCAACTGATTTACTATATGTAAATCTGTTTTTGTCTTTCGTCTTTTGTAATACAATT